AAAAAAACATAATGGGTCTCATAAACTTTGTAATTTTTTTAATCTCTTTGACATTTTTTTTTTAATTTTAAAAACTTATTTTTATAACTATCTAATAACTTTTTTTTTAAAAAAGTGTTATAATTACTAATTTACTATTGGTTTGTCATTTCATATAAAATGTGCTATATAATAACAATTAGAGGCAATTTAGTTGTTTTAGTAGTTGTCAATTATTTTATTAGCTAGTTTAAATTAGAAGTGTTTAGTAAATAATAGTTTAACATAAATTGACAAAAAATGACATTATCTGTTTAATTAGTTGAATTCGACGAAAAAACAATGAGTATAATTGTTAAAAAACTTAATTAAAAGCTAAACATTAAACGTCATAGTGTTTAATGTTTCATAAATAGTTCATTCAATATAAGTTATATTACCGAACACTACAATTAATAAAGATAGAGTTTTAACTTGGTCAAAATGCTAAAAATTAAATCAAAAGTCGTTGCTAAAAATAAGACCTTTAAATATTTTTTTTAAAGAAATAAAATTTAAATATTGAAGTAAAAAATTGACAAATATTATAATGATTCTTATTTAAAATAGACATGCTAGCATGTCTCAACATTATGTCATGTCAACTTTTATTGCATCAATTAAAATTTTTACTATCTGGTTTGGTGATAGTTATTGAAATAGGCATGTGCCGGCCTATATTGTCATGCTACATTATAATTAATAAACTAAATAAAATTAAATATGAGAAATTAGTGTCATTGCTAGCAACATATCAATCAAATTAATTAATGATATAATTAGCAAAATTCAAAGATCATGAACCCAAAAATAACAAAGTTTAATTTCTAATTTCTTTTAAAATATTAATTAATCCTTCAATTAACTACTCGGGTTCTCATTATATAACTTATATATTTAATTAATATTTTTCCTATTAAAATTAAAAAAAAGAAAAATCATCGCCAATAATTCAAATTTGTCATTATACATTAAATCATTCCAATGATTAAGTCCACACAAACCATGTTGCCATGAACATGTTAGGTTAGAATAAACAATTCAACTCAACCACCATACCTTTACAAAACTATTACCAATACAAATCATTATTCTAATTCAGACCAATTTATATATTTTTTTATTTTCTAACTTATAAATGAAAATAAATAATTTTAAAAATTAGTATTAAAACAATTCATAAGTGAGTTAATGAAGGGAATTAGGGCAAAGAAGAGTTAAATGTAATACAAAATAATAAAAATTATAACTAGATTTTTTTTTTATTTATAAAATTTGACTTGATTATATTGTAAATATATTCAATAGTTGAGAGAAATTTTATTAAGGAGTTAGGTTGCAAACTTTAACTTACAAAAATTATAAATTGAAATACACCTATATTTTCTAAAGATTGACATTTCCAAATTTAAATTGGTCAAATTGTGAGATTGTCAATTTAAATTACAATACAAGTTTATTTATGCACTTATTGGTCAAATTGGGAAATGTAACTACCTTAGTATCTTTAATGAACTTATCTTCCTTGTGTACCTTTCAAAAAAAAAAAAATCTTTATTAAGGAAAGTTGGATGATCTACCTCCTGATAAGTAGAATTGATAATGCAAATCAACCACAGATGTTTTATACACTTCCCGATAAATTACATTTCGCTAATCTATTTATTCCAATAAAATATCACATAGTTTAGGTAAATTTAATATATATATTTCCCTTTATTTTAAATTTAAGTTTCAGCTCTATCCGATTTTTTTATCCAATCAAATAAAAACCAATTTTAAAAATATTTTTTTCTCAAAAAAAATAATTTTTTATAAGTTTATAAAAAAATTACTATTACATTCCTTTGCATTGTCAAATATACTAGATAGGACCTGTTTTTTATAAAATATATAATGATGTCTCTAAGTTATGATCCTGACAAACACTTTAGTCCTTCGTCATTTTTTATGAATGTTGCCGTTAAATCACTAGGAAAAGACAAAAATACCCTAATGAAATCCCACCATCACCACCTCCTTTTCCAATCCAGCCGCCCTCTATTAGAACCTAGTCCAAGACCACCATTGAAAATAAATTTAAAATGTAGAATTATAGATTTAGTTTCTTTAAGTATATTTGATAAGTATACATTTTTAGTTGGAGGTGTCCCATATCTGTTCGAACTCCTCATTCAACACATCGATTCATCTCTGAATTCAATAACTCATTGGTGATTTTGACGATAGGAAGGTGTCAATAGCTGACTTTATAGTTATAGGTGTGCTATATTTGTTCAGATCATTCTCAACCAACTGTTGAATCAATTGCCCTAAATCCGGTCAAATGAAGTAATCTCTAACATTTGCGGGCAAGTGGAACCCTTGACTGACGGATGGTTTTCAATCACAAACTGGATGCATGCCACGTAATTGGAGATCTGGGGATGATTTTCTCTCTTTTAACGTTTTTGAACCTCCTTTAGTTTCGACTTTCGAAAAACACAAAGAGACGCTGACTTTCTCTGTTAAAATTTACTTTCTCTGTTCTCTTTATTTAGAAAAAATAGAAAATGCCCAGGAATTAAGCTGGTAGTTGAATTGATTTTTTTTCATTTTTTATCTAATATATCCCTAATTTACATTAATTGCTTTTTTAGTTTTGATGGAGCCAACTCACAAAGAGAGAGTCCCGGGTACATCTATTCGACAATTAATATCTAAAATGGAGGAAATATTTAAGAAAATACTGTAATTATTTTGAGAATTCAAAATTTTCAAATTTGATTTTTACAAATTGAAATTTTGATTTTCCCCCATCTATATTAAGTATTAAGCATTTTTAATAACATGTGCCCAAATTTAGCGAAAATTTGGAGCCAAAATTTTTGGTTAAACCAACAGTCTCCTTAGCTTCTACAATATGGCTACATATAAATTTCAACATGACTTAGGACATGTAATTGCATTCATAGAGTTTTCGAAAATAAGGACTATAGTTTTTCATTCCTTATGAATCCATCATTTTTATTTGATCTCCAATGACATCCCAATGGATTCAGACACACATTCTGAAGATACGTTCATTACTTTTCAATTACCAGACTTGAACTGCTTACCTGAAAACTAAGAAGGTGTTATGGTTGTTGCTGACAATAATCAATCCCAAAATATTGTTGCAAGTAACAAGAAAAAGGAAACAAGAAGAAAAACATTGCTGATGACATTAAAAAATCTATAACCACTATGCTTTTTAGCTGAATGCAACAAGGTAATGTGGAGGTAGTTTTTTTCTTTTATTTATAGTCGTCGATCTATGCTAATAAGAAGGCACAAGGCGGCGGTTATGAAAATGAGTGGATTGTGAAGAGGTGCGACGGAGGTAGTTTTTAAATATTGTGTCTCTTTATATTTCAAAACCGTTGTTTGAAGAGGGAAAAGAAAAAAGGATGCATAAGTATATAATAAAAACATAATGTTAATAGACAAATATAATAAAATGAGTACACATTCGTAAATTGAGCACATTTAAACGACTTAGATTCTTATAGGCAAAATAGATATATGTCCAATAAATTTTTAATATGAGCACATTTGTTAACTCTTTAGCTGAATGCAACAAGGTAATGTGGAGGTAGTTTTTTTCTTTTATTTATAGTCGTCGATCTATGCTAATAAGAAGGCACAAGGCGGCGGTTATGAAAATGAGTGGATTGTGAAGAGGTGCGACGGAGGTAGTTTTTAAATATTGTGTCTCTTTATATTTCAAAACCGTTGTTTGAAGAGGGAAAAGAAAAAAGGATGCATAAGTATATAATAAAAACATAATGTTAATAGACAAATATAATAAAATGAGTACACATTCGTAAATTGAGCACATTTAAACGACTTAGATTCTTATAGGCAAAATAGATATATGTCCAATAAATTTTTAATATGAGCACATTTGTTAACTCTCAGTAGTTTACAATTTTGTGATAAAATAACCGTGTACTTTTACATTGGAAACACAAGGGCATTAAATGCCCAATCTTTTTTTTTTTCTGCCACTTTCTCTTGCTAACCGTGCACAATTAACATAATGACGCAAATCAGATGAGTGTATTTTAGACTTTGAACAATTGCATCTTTCCCAAAATTTTCATTTTAAGTAAATTTCTCTATATAAAATAAAACACCCTAAATAAAAATTTTCTCTAAATAAAGAAAACAGAGAAAATATAAAATTAAAATCAAAATTGAAATATATATAAACCAAATCCAAACACAGAATTCAAAGTCCACCGGACATGAAAGGATCTTCCTCTTCCAACTTCGATCCACACTCTTACTTTGAATCGCTAGAGAATATGTATGCTCAGGCTAAAGCTCGCTTAATGCGAATAATAGCTGAGTTTTGAAGAATGAAGAAGATAAGAAGGGTAAGGTAGATGAAGAAATAAAAAATGCAGAGAAGGATGGAGAGAAAGAAGGATAGTTAGGGTATTTTAGTCATAAAAAATCTTTCTCTCTCCTTTAATCGCTGTGACTCACTGTTAAATACTCAAAAGCAGATAAAAGGACTAAATTGTCTAACGGAACTATATATTAAAGACATAATTATATATTTTGCAGAAAATATGTTGTGACTAGTGTATTTAACTAATATATAGGGATGTAATAATAATTTTCCCTAAATTTATTAATCAAAAGCAGAACTCATGGTTGTAAAAAAAAAAGTACAGCTTTTCGCCTAAAAAAAATTCTCCGCGGTATAAAATAATAAAAGATAAGTCAATTTAAAAAATAGAATTCTTTTTAGAAAATAAAAATGTGAACAAGAGAATAAAACCCAAAACAGTAGGTAAGACATACACAGAAAAAGATGGTGGCCCACAAATACCATATGGCCAGCTGTATGGCAGCCATTGTCACTGCCACCCTGTCTTCAACCTCTCTCCCAACATTCAATTTCTCTCTCTTCTCTCTTTTATTAACTTCTCTCTCTCTCTCTCTATATATATATAATACCCACTACCCATAAAGCTTGCATTGTGCTTTATTTTCTCTGCATTTCTCTCCTTCAATTTCATCTACTACAACCATCTCAAACGACATTCTAAAGCACAATTCCCCTCTTCAAAATCTCCTCTATAACAAAGCAAAACAAGAACTAATTTCAAGAAAATGGAGGCAATGAAGATGAACCTCTTTGTCGTTTTGATGGTTGTGTTGATGGCTTCCTCCAACATGCAAATGGCCACAGCAGTTGGAGCACCATCTCTAGCACCAGCACCAAGCCCTGCATCTGATGCTAATGTCTTTGTTCCCACATTCTTTGCCTCTTTGGTTGCTCTTGCTTGTGGGTTCTTCTTTTGAACCATTTTACATATTATTTATGTTATGTACAATATTTTCCTTATTTCTCTCTCTACCCATTTCTCTTTCTCTCTTTAGAAACACACTTCTATATCTAGTTTTCTTCTCTGTTTTTATTCTTTTTAATCCATCTTTCATGGAGTGGGAGAGAGAGAGAGAGATAGAAAAGAAATGGGTAGGGATTTGTTTGATGTGGTTATTATTTAGTTTTAATTTCTAATGATGATTATGTTGTGTGATTAATGTATTAAATTTGGTGGCATTTGTATTATATCTATATAATTTTTCTTGTTCTTGTTCAGGGGAATTAGAGAATTAGGGTTATAATAATAAATCTTTAGTTTGATTTGATTCGGTTTGGTTTAACCGGTGGTGGAGAATTTTGATCCATTGTATTTTTTTTAATTTGGCTTGAGATATATATATAATCTCACTTGTATTTGTGATTTATTTTAGCAATAAATCTTGTTCTTATTGTATTATTTTTCAAAAATTGATCTTTTGTTATACTTTTTTTGCTTGTTCTCAAATTCTTCTCTAATTGCTCTTCTTCTTCAAGATCAAGACTTTTCTTTTCTTTTCTTTCCTTTTCTTTTAAATGATTTGTGTAGTAATTAATTGTTTTTGGCTCATATAATTAAAGGATGGTAATATGCTAATATGAGGTGTGTGAATGTAATAATAGAGGAAAGTAATTGTGTCTCTTAAAATATATTTTTTAATTTATAAATTTTTTTTAAAAAAATTGCTTAAAAATATACTAATTAATCCATCAAAGAATGACAAGAATAAAGTTTTCATTAAATTAAGACCAAATTGAAAGGTTAGATTTTTTTTTTAATTTTACTTATAATTTAATTTTAATTTCAATTAGACATGAAAAAAAAATTAATTATCTGATTAATTAAAATTTTAGCAATAATTAATAATATTATAATTTAGTAATAAAATGTACAAACACTTGTCAAATAACAAAACCAAGAGAGTGTTGTTGATGCCATAGCTTCCTTAGTTCCTAGACATTGTTATCTCTATATTTTTTTTTTATTGACCTAATTTATAGTAGAAATTAATTATTATTTTTCCATATTGAACTTTTTATGTGCTTGATGCCACTATCTTTTTCTTTCTACTGTAATATTTTTATATATTAAAAGAGAAAATACTTCATTCTATGGAAATTATTTTATTTGAAGAAACCTTAATTAAAAAAAAAATTATATTCAAATTAAAACTTAAATTCTTTTATATTTTGAGAAAAAAAATTATAACGTCCTTAGTTTATACTTCTATTTCATTATTAGGTCATTCCATTTAAAAAGTGAGCTTTTTACCACTAGCTATATACATTTTTTGGACATAATAATGTTGATTTCTTAGACAGAAAAAGCTCACCTTTTAGATAAAAAACCCGATAATAAGATGAAGTATAAATAAAAAACGCCACAGTTATTTTTTAAATATAAAAAAATTTTAAGTGTTAATTTGAATATAATTTAGGAATTAGTTATATTTTGTCCAAAGAGGGCTCTCCTTATTTTTGCAAAAAATAAAAATAAAAATAAAAATAAAAGCATATCATGTTATTTATAAATTTGAATTGAAGCATTGGATGCCTCTTGCTTCTGAATTTTGGTGAAATAGCATCACAAGAATTGGCATATATACATTACTTTTTTTTTTTTTGACATTTAAATACATTACTTTTTTAATTGGCTGTATTACTATTATGACTTGAAAATGAAACCTACGGTCACTGCCAAGATGGATGAACCATTTAGGCAGGTCATAGCCACACATGGAGATACAATTCTGCAACATATGATTTTGACATGTCATTCCATATTTATAGGGGGTGTTTGAAAACGTTGACAATACCAGACAGACTCATCCAAAACCATAATTTAAAAAAAAAAAAAAATTGATAGTTTAATTCTATTTATAAAAATAGAAAATAAATAAATTATTGGTTGAATTTATAAGTTTAGATGAAACGTCTTAATAATACTTCCTCGCTTCTATAGAGAAAGTAAAAATGTTCGCTAAGATTTAAGATGTGAATTTTATCTGAAATTTTTTTTTTTTTTTAATTTACCATATTGCAACTAGCCAATAAAAATTCAACTCAAATTTGGATCGTAATACTGCCTTTTGTAATTGATCTCCTTGTCATTTGATGAACAACTGCCTTTTGTAGAATATGAAATGACACCGTCTTAATTAATGCTCCAGCATTAACAAGAAAAGACAACAAAAGCAAAAACATTAGTGAAGAAAAATTCAGTTTGTAGGTTGTTTTTTAAAACTGAAAATGGTGAGTCAAATGCTCACAGTATTCGTAAAATTGCAGATAACTTATCTATATCCATTAAGACAGTTTATAAAATTTGGCATTATGCAAAGAATGGTGAGGGTGCAACGGATTTGGGTTGTGTTTCTCGCTCTTTAACCTAACCTTTTAAGATGTTAGTTAGAGGGAATATAAATGGACACAACAATTTTGAGTTAAGCACCGCTTTTTGGAGGAAATTTTTCTTTCATTTTGGATTTATACGAATTATATATAAATCTCAGTATATATGTGCATTTAATTATTAAACGTGCGCAGAAACTATATACATAATTCAGAATATGCTTGCAACTCCAAAAGTTTAATTTGTATGTAATAATACGAAGAAGTCCTTATTTTCTTATTGTATGGTATAGTTGTTTTGGAACACCAGTTCCTCAATCACAATTATGTTTGCCACTTTTTTGAAACTCTCCCAAACTCAATGTTTAAACTAAAAAGCAAATTAAGGGCATATTGGACTTTTACTTTTGCATTTATCCCAAAGTTACCATTTTAAACAATTCTCTATGTAAAAAGAACATTATGAAAGAAAATTTTTTTCTCTATATGTATAAGACGGAGGGAGCATATATTATAACTTGTGCTTAACAGTTAACTTGTGGTGGTACAATTGAAATGACGACATTGACCCTATTAGTTGTAAGTGAATTATTTAACAAAAAGAGAGAACGAAAATTGAAATTCAAATTTTTAGGCCTTCTCTTTGGTACTGTTACTGTAATGATGAGAAACCTATAAAGCAGGGGTGTGCAAACTTTGGAAAAAAAAACCGAGAAACTGATTCGAACCGATTGATTTTAGTTATTTGGATCGGTTTTTTTATTTGAAAAAATTTTAATTTTTGGTCTAGTTTAGTTTTGAATAAAAAACTTTTCACTTAATCGAGTCGAACCGCAAGTTAAAAGTAAACGCTGCGTTTTGATAATTAGTTGAGCTTCTTATGTTTTTTTTTTTTGCCCCACATCACACTTTATAGTTTCATATCCGCCGCCTCCTCTCACCCTTTTCCGATTCTTCTTTCACCACACCTCTCCCTTTCGATTCTTCGGCCACTTTAACCTTGCTATTTGGTCAACCAACCTCTTCTCGCCACCATTTCTCGTCTCAGCCATCGATTCTAATCAGTTTAACGACCTCGGTAGCGAGTTTAGGAAGTGAGAGAAAGACACAGATCGTGACGGTACTTGGTTCTCCATCATCGACTAGAAATTCATTCCTTTGAATCATTCTTGCATTTTAGTGAGAAGTATTACGAATTAATTTAGTTTATTTAAAGATTAAAGCCTTGGGGTATGAAATTGGATAATTAGGGTTCCTAATTTTAAGCCAATATTTATTACTAATTCATTCTAAAGGATCATATATACATAAAGGAGCACGCTATTAGAATTGAATCAGTTACACGTGCAATTGATTTTAGAACTGAACCAGTTCGTCAGTTCGATTAAAATTTCTCTTCTAACTTAGTTCAATTTCAATATGTAGCTTTAATGTAATAATTTCAGTTCGATTAATTTAATCTAATTTAATTGCACGTGTAACTTAACCAAATATGTAGTTTTAATTAAAGTTTCTTATTAATTTAATTCTAATTTCAGTGTCTTAATTTAATTTAATTCCAAGTATGAATAAATGTGACTTAATCAAGCATGATTTAATTTAATTCTAATTAGGATATCTTAATTTAATTTAGTTTTATGTGTAACTGAATCAAAACACTGACAACTGTTTTCCTAGGCAACTAGCACTAATTATTACCATATTGCAAAAGAACATGAATACAAAATTAAACTGTAAAAAGAAGGGCTAAAGATGTTTTAACAATAAAATAAAATAATACACTAATCGTGGTGGTTAGAGCTGTGCTGTAATGAACTATCCTAATTCATTTACACTTTTTTTTTTTTTTGCATATGCTATTGCAACTGTATTTGTTAGATCTAACTATTTCTTCCCAGACTTCCATATCTTTCCGGAAGTACAAAAAAGGCAGCTACCGTTACATTTATTACTTTTTATGCTTTTATTGTACACCAAAGTCATACGTAGTGATGACAATACCTAATTTCAATTGGGCATTCTGTCTATTGTATGATTTATCCATCTTACATCTGCGACTTATCGGGTTGTGAAGACAGCTCCTTATCAGCAAAATGAAGCAGCCTTCTAAGCCTTAAAACCATGTCACAATGAAACGGCAGTGCAGTCCGTCTATCCAAATATGCTGGGCTCACAGTCATCCATGACAAAGCATGAAGCTCTGCCGATATGGACTCGAGAATCAAGTGTATCTCAATTTCAAAGTCTCTAACTTCCGAACTTATTCTTCCTTGCTTCATAATCCCCCTAGGAATTTTTTCTTGGGTAATACTATTACCCCCATAATAATCGATAAGACTCACAGAAAGAACAGAAGGCCATTCTTCCCTTGAGTTGCTCCTGTAGTCTTTCCCCATAGAAGGCACAGCTTTAGAAACCACAAAGCCAGTTGCAAGGGGAATTGCAGAGCCTTTACTATGAAGTAGATGTGCAAGCGGAGGTGATTCGGCAGTAAGACAAGTCGGTAGCTGAAGAGGGGTTGGAGGGAGAAAGCGCAAGCTGGGTGATGGAATTACAATGTAAGATGCAGATGTAGAACCAAGAGACTTTACAGGAGTAAAACCTTCCAGATAACCAGATGCTCCAACACCAATGCCACCCTGAGCTCCAGCTGCACAACATTTAGTGTTAATTCTTGATGCACAATATCAGTTTAAACATCCAACTTGAAATAATGAAAAATAATGTTCCATGGATATTGTAGTACAGATGGCAACAAATGAGCAAACCATTTAAAATACCCTCAACTTTGCACATTTTTTCGGTTATACCCTAAATTGAACTTAACCCCTGTGAGGCTGTGACACCCCAATTTCCTAGTTTTGTTATAATTGCACTCTAATTTTAAATTAAGGCAACTCAATTGAATAAAATAATAATGAAACGGACCCACATATGCAACTATAGTAAAATTAACCCAAGGGGATTAAGTGAAATGGCGTGTTTCACTCAACTCAACCCTCATCTCGTACCTCTCCTTCTATCAACAGTACCCAAAATTCTTCAACCCCATCTCTCTGCTCTCATCAATCTCAGGCTCCAGTTTCTAAACTGTATTGAACTCAGACTCATGCAAATCCAATTTCTTTTATATTGGATAAGAAAAGGACAGATGAAGATATTGAATAACAAAACACAAAAGCAATCCAAGTAAAGACAACAATTCAATTATTACAAAAAAAAAAAAAAAAAAAAAAAAAAGGAAGAAAGAAAGAAATACAGCAGTCAGGATTTGACAAAGGCACAACCAAGATGACATGGCCATAACTGATGCAAAATAGAGATACCCAACAAAAATAATTGATTCCTCATTTGGTTTAAGCTAGTAATTTAAAGAATTTAAAGTTCAACAGATGTTATTGAGGAGGCATGGAGGAAAGAGATGTGGGAAATTGCAGCTCTATTGTGGTAGATCTACAAATGAGAGAGAGGATGAGAGAGATCAATGGGGAAGAAGAGATGACTGAAAGATCGATGGACAATCTTCTTTAATTTTCTTCAATTTCATTTTCTGGCTTCAACATGAACAAATGGAAGAATGGAAAGAAAAAATAGAAAAAGAAAGAAGAAGACGTGCAAATCTTCAATTGAGGAGAGGAGTTATATGGGTTAAGTGGAAGCTAGTCCATAGTGAAATGCACCGGTTCACTTAACTTTGGTGAGTTAAATTCTTACTACACCTATTGTGGTGGGTCCCATTTTTAATTTTTTTATTAATTTTTGTAATCCTAATTTGAAATTAGGGTGAAATTATAACAAAACTTAGAAATTGGGGTATCACAGGGGTTAAGTTCGATTTGGGATATAATTATAACAAAACCTAAAATTTGAGTATTTGAAATGATTGACTTGGCAACAAATTGTAAATTCCTGGTATCTAAGTTTTTTGAGCATGTTAAGTCACATGAAAGCCTCTCTTCATGAGTACATCCCAAAAATATGGATTGAGATGCCTCCTAATTGGACATTAAACTGACAGGGCTTAGAAATTTAATTCAAATTGAAAATCCAACACAAATTTCAATACAATGGACATGAATGTATGCTTCAAATTTACTTGATAATCCTAAGCCCATGCAGTTTGTGTTAAAGGAAAAAATGGAGGTAGTCAACTAAGTAAAAGAATTATAATACACGCTTGAACAAATGCAGAGAAAGATAATGAGAGACTGAATTAGAGCAATAACTAAGAAATTATTATTAGGCAACTCCTGATCTGAAGATATAGCCTAACGAATAAAGTGGAGAGAATTCGGAAAACAAAGAACCATAATAAAGGGGAGAGATTTACTTACCAGGAGATTGTGAATCTGCTTGAAAAACCAGATGTAAAGAATGGTCAATTGAAATTGCAACAAAACTGATGCTCTGCACCCACTGAAGCATTCCCCTCGAGTTGTCAACCACAGTGTGTCCACCTATGAGCTGTTTTCTCCCAGAAGATTGTCCCAAACCACCCTTCATAAAGCCAGAACCTTTTGAGTGAGGACTGTACAATGGACTAGGTGACGAAGGAAGAGTTCTCTCTTGCATTAAACTCATCTCCTGTTGCTGCAAGGAAGCCCCGTTACTACTTCCAGGCATCCCATCAGGTATAGATCGCCGAAGTTGCAAGGGCCATTTTTTCATCTCAGAACCCCCAACTGAATAAATTGCTTTCTGCCATTCTGTTAATCATGCAAATGCATTGTAAAAATTATAGAGTTAATCATGAAATTTCTTCAATTAACAGGCCAAACAGATAATAGTTACCAAGATGAATTTTTCATAGCAACTCAAAAGATTCTAAAAGGCAAATAATACAAACAAATACAGGACCTCCACAGCAATTACTTGTTTCCTCTAATTGAAAGAAAATTATACATATTGCTAAAAGTTAAGAGTGATCCCACCGTATGGTTCTGGTTTGGTAATAATGTAGTTTTCAAGCAGCTATGACAAATTGACAGTCAGACAGAAAGGCTTCCACATCACAAGACAAATTGACAGAAGTTTTAGGGCCTGTTTAGCTCAGATTGGCAGTCAATAGATGGCAGCCTACAAACATTAAGTTTGCAGTCAATAGTTACAATTGATTGTAAAACATTCAGTAACCCACTGAATGGAACTACAGGTTAGACTACACAATGATGAACTACATTCATATTATATTGTTTCATACAAAAAATGCCAAATTGTTCTTGTTAAAACTGAACCTCTCTTTTATCATTTAATGCTAGAGGTGAGCATTATTTGGTTTGAATTGAATTACAGAACAGAACTGATGAATTTTGGTAAATTCAGCAATTTCAAACAAGTTAGTTTGATTTATCTTCCACCTTCAAAGACCAAATTAACCAAATAAATCAATTACGTCCTATAATCCATGTTACCAAACCAATCAATCAGATTACCTTCATAAGACATCTCCAAACCAGTGTAAAAAACAAAGAAAATTGATACTTATATCTGAGTAGCTGACCATACATGCTAAAAATGAGCATTTGGTTCGGCCAATTCGATTAATTTGGCCAATTCATCAATTCGATTCAGTCAATAAATGTTCGGTTAAAGAAAATTAGATTTTCGGTGATCGGCTAAAAGTTAATCAAACCGAACTGATCAAATTAACCGACTGTCAAAACTACGTCGCTTTGATTAAATAGATTGTAAGATTAAAAATTAAAATTATTTCGGTTCTTATTTTGATTATGTAGTGATTAGTAATTCAGTTAATTTTTATTTCGGTTAAGATCGACTAATCACAAATTTCGATAGGTTAATTAGGTTTTCATTTTCATTAACTTCAATGTAGTTAATGATCAAAATTAATTTCATTTCAGAAGAAAAATGATCAAAATTAATTCGATCAAAATGATTCAATTAAGCTAGGTTAAAAAGATTAGTTCGGTTAAGCCAAAAAATATTTCAACTAATTTACTTTTGTTAAAAATGTCACCTTATATTGGTCGAATTGGCTGAATGCTCACCCCTAATATTACATGCTATATATTAAGGCTCCATTGAATTGAATAGAGTTGAGCTACATTGCTATGAATGAAGATGATTTTCATAAAATTCAAGTAGGATGGATAAAATAGAAAAATGTTACAGGTGTACTACGCGATAGGAAGATATCTAACAAGGTGAAAGGTAAGTTTATAGGATGGCTGTGAGACCAACAATGATAGGAGTGAATGTTGGGTACCGAATGCCCAACACGTTCACAAGATATATGTTGCGGAACTGCAAATGATGAGATAGATGTGTGATTACACAAGGTTAAACAACATTAGGAATGATCACATTAGACAAAAGTGCAAGTAGAAGAAGTTGGAGATACAATGAGAAAAAGATATTGAGATGGTACAGTAATGTATTGCATAGATCCCTACTTGCTCGACTTGTAAATGCAATACTTTGATAGCGGAGAGTACTAGAAGGGGAAGAAGTCGACCTAGTACTACTTGGAGAGAAGTTGTCACGAAAGGTTTATGGTCTTTGAATGTTAGCGAGGATATAGCTATGGACATAACAGAATGGAGACAAGATTCTTATAGCACACTAATTGTCTATCTTATGTGTTCTTCTATTTACTAATATATCAAATGATTTTAAAATTCCCCTAGAAGAACTTTTTCTGCAAAAAGTATATCACAATTTTTTCTGACTTATAATTTGCTTTGCATTAGTATTGAGTTGACCAGAGCAGATATTGGAAACAAAGGATTCATAATAACCAACCCCAACTACTTTGGGACTGAGGCTTACTTGTTGTTGTTGTTTTTGTTATTGTTTGGCCGAAATAAAACTAACTATTAGTTAAATGAAGTTAGTTGTTGTCATCAAAATTCCAGCATTTAGTTAAAAAAAAAAAAAAAAAGGGCCGAAATTAAAACTAACTATTAGTTAAATGAAGTTAGTTTGTTTGTCATCAAAAATTCCATGCATTTAGTTAAAAAAAAAAAAAAGTCAAGATTTTGTTTAAAAAAAAAAAAAAAAAGTCAAGAGTTATGTTCAAAACCAAACGGTCAGCAGTAGGACTTGTCTGACCACACTAAATTTTTTCTCACCAGACACTCAATCTAAGCAACTGAGTCATAGCTCAACCCAACGGGTACATAATATCAAATGAAGAAAAATATGAAGAGGGAGGACTAGAATGCAAGAAAGTCATACCTAGGTACTCAAGCTCAAAGAAATTCCCAATGCGTGTAATCACGAAATCTCTAGGCTTTATGGCACCAATATCAGGAGAGGAGCAAGCCTGAAGTATCTGACAACCTTGCTGGAGAACTTGCACAAAGAGGCATTGCAAGCCCTTTGTGTCCTGCCGACTGCTAATTCCACCAAAAGGGAATATATGGCTGTCAAGTAATTCTCCTCTTGCATCTGTCCAGATGCACACTAGCCAGCGCCAGTCCTCAGTCCATCCATAGCAACAGTGTAGACTTGGAAGAGTCTTTTGATAGCTACCTCCAAAGCCATCTGGCTCCGATCCATCAAGTTGAGAACTTGATCCAGTATCTGCACTCACAGCTGAGCTAGCATTTTGCATGAAGCCTCCACTACTATCATCAGATAACATCTTTGAAGATTCAGCAGTTAAATTGCCAAAAACAGCAGGGGCAGTTGCATTTTCCAGAGATCCTGGTTCTGAAAGAATAAAAAGTGGCTCAAACAAGTAGCGAATATCATCCTGAAGAAAATAATCTCCATTTCTGTTTGGATCATAGTTTAATCCTCCAGTCCTTGTCTGCCAGGAGTTATCCCAGGTACCTGGTCTCAAGCTAGCATCAATATCACCTTCTCTTGGAAGTGCAGGTCCTCCAAGTCGAGGAGCAACACAATCCTTCCACATTGCTGGAATAGAAGTCATTTGTGGCATGACAGAATGAGATCTACCAGACATTGTTGATGACTGAATATCATTTGAGGAACCTTTTGAAATTCGACGAGCCTTGTTGTATACAGTGAAAGCAGTCTCTTTAAGAATAACAAGTTCATTGAGACCAGGACTTGTAACCCTAAAAATAGCATCAACTGTAACAATTTGCAATACCAATTTAGGAACATTAAACCCTGAAAGTACTAGAATATTCGAGGGTGATGCTTCATCCACCACTGCTGAGGAACTTAGAGCCTTGCCAACATGATTCAGCAAAATCGGTCTCCTCTCTCTATCTGATGTGAGAAATGTTGATCCAACAGCAACAGAAGATTCAATAACAGTTTGTAGAACTGCAACAGGTTCGGGAAAGGGGCACACCACATAGATAACCTGAGTGGAGAAATGAATATAATTTACGTACATGAAATTAGTTTTCTGATAATTACTAGAAGGGAATACACGCTAAACATAAGATCCACCAACTAAATGAACTACTTCAATTGAACAAACTGATTGATTCAGTTTTTCATTAATATCTTGTTTGCAAGTTCAGGAGAGCACAATTAAATTTCAGCAGTAAAATGATCACATTGATTTATTTTCAATTAAATTGTACAAAGAAGTGAAACTCACATGAATAAAATAAATAGCAAATGCATTGAATCTGCTTTTAGGGGTAGTTTGGTTTTTGAAGTTGGAAAACAATACTTTTACACGGATTCTTGCAAAATTGACATCCTATGGTTAATTTTGCAAATTATACATAATTCATCAAGTCTTTCAAAAAAAAAAAAAAATTGAACTTTAACTTGTCAAAGGAAATCCAGATGCAAATTTGTCTTATAAAAAAAAACCTAAGCCAAGGATAACAAACTGTCTCATAATTTGAGCCAGAGCACAATATGACATGAATGATGTGGATTAAATTGAGTTGAGATGAGTTAGTACTGATAAACACATAAAATTGCGTATTTGTTGCTAAATTTTCCAACCTTATAAATGCATAAGAAAAATCAAAAGATGCTGGCACCTTCTATCATGTATGGAAAATGATGGCTATTAAAGCAAGGCAAGAAGCAGCTAACACCAACAGTAATGTCTTTTAAAGTTCAAAAGATAATAGTTAATGGGAATAGATGCAACTAAATGTGCACTAACTGATGGACAACAGGAAACTGCCACTTACCATACAAGGACCACTATTTCCTTCTTTTGGGTTTGTTGATAAGCTCGGACCAATTTTCAAAACTTTAATTGCCTTTGAAAGAGACTTAAGATAGCTTGTCAAGTCCCAGCCATTAGAGAGAGAGAGAAAATAATCACTAATTGAACCCACAAGAGATGTATTGCTGCTTTCTATCTTCATTGACTGAGGACAATCTAGCAGCACAAAACCAGTGGAAGACAATTTCCCCGTGTCTATCTCCATTTGGTTTCCCTGACTCTGAGGTTGATGAGTTCCCAATTTACACATCTCGTAAACTGTAGAAAAAACTCATAGTAAGACTCAACAACACTTAAAGCATGATAACACAAAGACAAAAAACTAATGTAAACAAGCGCATGGGAAGAACAAATGTTTAATGTATTAAGCTTAGAATTGAAAGTGCACAACAATGTCCAAGTTGCAAAGGCCATGTTTAGAGCAGCAATATTTTAAATCAAGAACTTTGCTACAATTATTTTCACCAAAAGAAAGATCAAAATATTCATCTGCCAAATAAAGCTATCAGCCAGATAATATCACAAGGGAAAAGAACACTCAGATATCACTATGTTCGTCCTAGAAAACTATAGAATGACACTCACCAGTTCCAAGTTGTTGGAAAAAATCAGCTGCAGCAGAAGTAAGGGGATCAATGTCCGGGCATATAACACAATAAGTAATCTGCAACAATTAATGAACAGCCAAAGTTGCAGTATCATTGACAACCAGAGCAACATTCACAACTCTTAAGCAATAAATAAACCAGACATACAGAACTATAAACAATTCAACATATTTCATATATCTTACAGGTTTTGGTGAAGCATATGGTTCAAAAGGTGCCTTTTCCCAGAGTTGTAAAGAGCTAGATGATGTCTTAAGCCAATCATCCTGATACCTATTAAATACACAATTTATTTGAACTTCCATAAATACAAAAAAAAAAGAAAAAAAAAAAAAAAAAAAAAAAAAAAAAAAAAAAAGAAAAAAAAAAAAAAAAAAAAAAAAAAAAAAAAGATAAAAAATTTAGGGGGAGGATTATTGAGAAAATTGGCCATAAAAAAAAAAAAAAAAAAAAAAAAAAAAAAAAAAAAAAAAGATAAAAAAATTTAGGGAGATTATGAGAAAATTGCCATAATCAGGATTAAGGATTACTACCCGACAAGTAAAGCAGGGGAGGGAAGAACAAAAAGTGTTGGCCTTCGGGAACCTGGTAGCTGCTCTGACTCAATTTCTTGGCTCAATCTTCTTTGGCCAGTGTCATCCGCTTTAGCTCCGTCCGCTGTAGCAGACACTGTAGCAATTGCAGGACTGTAAGTCACCTGAAAATTTCAGAACCCAACAAATAAAAATCAGTATACCTTCAAGGCAAGAAGATACAGCAGCAGAAGACTGAGCTGGGCTCATTGGTTCTCCAACTGATAAACATACAGTGCTTGAAGAATCTTTGCACTCGCTTAAAGTAGACTCGGCAAAAGATCCATCACATGCAATACCTCCATCACTAGACTGGCTGCGGCCTCTGCACCAATCAGTGATGGATAATGGACCATCCAAATTCCCAAATGCAGATTTTAAGGCTGTTCTGATTTCAGAGTGAAGCAAGCTGATCACAGAGGAGGCATTAATCTGGACCAAAAAAAATAAACAAACAGAAAATTTAAAAAAAAAAATGCACTATCATTGTTTAACACCAGGTTCACCATATCATCCCAAAAGAAAAATATATGTAAAAGAGAACAGCTTACATCAGAAGAAAGTGGATCTACTAATGGCATGCCAGCAATGTCCAGAGAATGACAAGAAGCCAAAGTCCCCCCACAGCCTGCATGGACCATGGAAGGCCCACAAGAAAATCCACGCCTCCAATGCTCTTGCAATGCAAGCCAGCCATAAGGACCATCCCCACAATCTGCATCCAGAGCCACATCAACAAAAGAAGTGGCTTGCTGGACAAGTAATGCCATGCCATCCAGTAGCTCCTGCAGTGGTTGTCTGTGCTTATATGAAAGCATTCTTTCCTCATTCAATGAATGGAAGGGTAAGGATGGACCAACTTCAATACTTGGTGAATTACTAGGTTTGGCTACTTTAGGAACTGCAACAGAGCGCCAAACACCAACAGGTGCATTGAGATGACTATCCAGCACTCCTCCATCAATATCACCAGCTATTCTAACTGGTATAGATTCTTTCTTCTTCATCTCATACCTGCTAGATATATTGTCTGTCATGGTACTTCCATCTCCAGGAAGTTCGCTCAAAACAGTGCTACTGCTTAACCTACTCAAGCTTGTAGGTACAGGGTTAGAAGAAGATGAAAGTATGTGTCGAACCTTGCACATAGAAGCTTGGAACATAAGACATTCGACTTCAGTAGCCAATACAGTCTTCATAGAAAGTAGGAAGTTCTCTGATCCTGTAGCTTCAGCCATTTTCCTTTGGACAGATTTGATGGCATTTGTAGAATTGACCATAGAGAATGAAGAAGACACAATCTCACTTCTAGCAAGGCTACCATTGTGTGTGATGAATTTTCTGTCACGATAATCCCTCCCACTCTCTACATGAGTGTAATATTTCTTTGTGTCCTGCCTTGCAGGACCTGATTTTAGATTCATAGGCATGCTAGTCTTCTCATCTGATCCATCGAAGCAAGGAGAAGATGGTGGGGTTGCGCCGTATGTATAATTGTTTGGACTTGAATTTGAACTCTCAACTTTGCGTGACTGTGGACGATATGGGCTTCTGAAAATTGATGATGAGGACTCACTTGCACGGGTTTCAACTGCTCCATATTCTGGAGCAAAGGACATGAGAGCTTCAGCTTTGATTAAATGATCAAACTCACCCGTAGAAGACAGAGGGGTATGGTTCACTGGTCCTGATGTCAGAGCCTCGAGGGTGATATCCTGACTTTTGCTGATGCACTCATCCATAGATGTTGTGGGAGGTGGATTAAAACTCTCAAAAGATGAAAAACCTACAGGCAAAAGCATATGATCTGCAACATCCATTACCCCAATAGGACTGCTAACAACTTCTCCACAATCTGGGGCTGAAAACATCAGAGCCTGTGATTCTGCTGTTCCAGGGGGCTTCAAAGGAGAGCAGGAAAAAGATAAATACCATGATTAGATTCAATAAAAGCTTAAGAGCATTGGCTTTTATCTTTCCTCTTTTTTACATGCACATAGAGAGACATACATGCTTACATATGCGCGCGCATGCGCGCATATTTTATAGAAAAGGCACTAGAAGTATATTGGACCATAAATATCAGCAATGGGAACAGGAAAGGATGGCATGAACAAAGATAGACAAATTATTCCTCCCACTTCTCTATAGGATATAACCCATTACAAGTGCTGCAGCATGATTATATCCATTCTGCGAATCAAATAATTAAATATGTAAACCTCCAATCACATAAAGAGAATAAAGTAATTAATTTGTTAAATTGGTTGTTGGAATATGGATCTGGAAGTGAACCGTAATGAGTGGATGAAATACAGATGGGAGAAGCTACTGAGAATCACTGAGAAATGGAAAATTCTCTTTTAGATAGATTATCAAATGGAGATGAATTTGAACTTCAGGTTTTCAAAAATGTAGAGAGGAGGCTTTCCCTGCTTTTTCAGGTGTTTGGACACGAAAGTGCATTACATGAGCTGTTAGCTGGAAAGCAATGTTCAGAGTTGATCAAACAACAGAGAAAGGTTGTTAAAATTTCTTTTTTTAGTAGAATCAGTAGAGAGTCTACAAAACCGAATCGTAAAATCAAATTGTGATCGGAAGATTTTATAAATACACCTAAAACAAAAATTATTAATTTATCACTTTAAATCAAAATAGTAAAAAATTATTATATAATAAAAATTTTTAATAATTACTGGATTTTAATTTGTAAAAGTCTGTTTCTCTTCTCTTCTGAATATCTCCCTTCTCTTCTCTTACGAAGAAGTTAAGGTTTTTCACACCAATTCCAAGGATCAAACTCAAAAGCTTGTATGTCTTCTTTAAATGTTTTTCTCTTGATTCTTCAATCTTATCTGATAAGGTAATCGATGCATTAATTCTTCCATGGAGAATTTGTGTTTCAGAGCCCAAAATGTTGTTGATATTAGATTCTAATTTGTAATTGCAGTATCAGAGACTTGGTGTTTTAAAGTCTCCACTCTTTCTAAAATTAGATGGGAAGTAATTTGCAATTTTAATGTTTTCATCAATTTTAGAAGCAATTTCATGACGTCACAACCGAATTCACAACGATTTTGGTAATCTGTGATTTTGTGTGCGAGTGAACATGTTTTAGGCAATTGAGACCATGAACTCATACGATATTACGAGTGAAATCATGATTTTGATAACCATGCAACAGAGAATCCGAGTTATCGACGGTGGCTTCTGACTGCAAAACAAGAATAACGGACCTTGGAGATCTAGGTAATGGATTAGAAAGACTGATAACTTGATTCAAAAATCGATCACTATGCTACTAAGTATCAGTTAAGAAAAATAAATATTGTATCATTCTGGTTGAGGTTAATATGCAGAACACTGAATCTGCTATAAGTACTTAATTCCAACTTATCACCAAAAAATCTGGCATATATCAATGGCAACGCATAAAAACAAAGGGAAAAAAACTAGAGCCAAGTTTGATTGAATAAAACTTCTCACTAATTAGTAGCTTTTAACGGTCTTGAAATCTAGTCAATTGATAAATTTCCAACTTATCACCAAAAAATCTGGCATATATCAATGGCAACGCATAAAAACAAAGGGAAAAAAACTAGAGCCAAGTTTGATTGAATAAAACTTCTCACTAATTAGTAGCTTTTAACGGTCTTGAAATCTAGTCAATTGATAAATAAGTACTAATTACATCATTGGAACTTGCAATCTTTTCAGATATCAAAATGTTTTTTCATGGACGAATTCACAGAGTTGCACTATTATTACATCTCTAGGTTAATAGTTAAAGCAAAATTATCATATAGAATATAACAACAGCAGATTTGCAAAAGACAAGAATTTACCTCTCCAAAAGGCAATGCGTCATTCTCAAAGAAGTCATCAAAATCACCGAATTCAGATAGAAGAGCTTGGATATTAATCCCCATACCTCTATCATCATCATCCCAATCTAAATGAGATCCAATCTGCTCATTTGCAACACCTGTGATGGTTGAATTGTTAACTTCAAGAGAACCAAAATCAGACTTGTAAGCATCTTGCATAGAAGTATTCTTCATGGTACCCATTTGACCATATGCCTCTGTCATTCCTGAACGAGGACGTTTAGAACCCTGCAATAGAATTACACTTACACATTTTTCTGAACCCACAAAATTTCCGGAAACAAAAAGAGGGACAAATAACTGTACACACATAAATTTCCAAGTGCTATCCTTCATCCCCATAAATTTCTTATACACACACAATTATTGGCAACAAAACCACTGAAATACAAAAAATTATGAAACTTGCTACTACATGGAAAAATGAAAACTGCATCCTGATAAAACAACAAATGTGAGCATCGATATTCAGGGAGAAATGCACATCATACATGCATAGATTGATAGATACAATATCAAAGCTGGAGTGTTAATAGTGTCAAGTCTAGTGGCGAATCCAGAAATATTTGTTTCCAGAATCAATATATAGTTTTCTTTTAAACAAAAGAGGAGTCAAGGACATAAATAAATTGAATTTAATGGATAAATTTTATAATTCCTGATATTCAAAAGCACATACACTTTGGATTTTCCATTAGTGAAATGTTTAAGCTATTAAATTAATTCCTTAGCTTTTGAAAGAAACAATTTGAGTCCCCGGTATTCACAAATAAAAGTCCACACAGAAAAGAGAAGGATGAAAATGGAATGCTTCATTAGATTTCTATCATATGCCTCCTCAACAATATGTTCACAATGTAAACTTGGATTGTAAATATGTTTGTACCATGTGTTTGATTAGACCTTTACATTCAAAAATTAGGAACCTAAATAATACCCACACAAAATCAAGAGCCCTAAAGAGCATTATGAATAAAACATCAGACTAAAAAACAGTTGCTCTGATATATGCTAACAAAAGCACAGTAATAGAAAACAAGGAGTTCAAGTAAGATACATGTGATGCAACTTTTTCAAATTCTTGGGCTACCAATCTACAAATTAGATACTGTGTAAATCAGTCAAGCTACTCAAGCTACTCAAGCTCAACAAGAAAATATCCATATTCTATATAATTGGTCACTCAAATTCTGATTATTCATGTCAGAAGATGAATTCTATCCTTACCATTGAGTTTATTTGGTCTAATTATTTTGTTATGAATACCAATTACTATTTGTTTTAAGCTAATTCGTATCTGTTTTACTTGAATTTCATGCAGCCATTGTCTTCAAAATAGGCTACAAGAAATCTCTCTAGAACTAAATTATTAGGTCCTTCAGGTTGAAACAACTAGAGTTGATAATGGTGAATCATAGACCCTACTTATTGAAATTGCGAAGCCTTCACCTATTGAGCAACACTAAGACAGCCAGCTACATCACCGAAAATCAACAGTGACTTCCAACTTCTCAAAAGTTAAAACTGTCTAACCATCACACACCTCTATAAACTATCTTCTCCCACTAATATGTTCTCCTTGTTTAAGCAGGAAAAACCAACGAACTGCTGATATATAGAACTGTTCAAAACACAACTTCAATTACCTCAACAAACCACAAGTGATCTCAGTCACACCTCACTAAAATTCAATTTTATAAACATAATGAATCATTTGGGTCAAACTGGATAAAAATTTCCTGCAATGTCATCAGTTATATTGAGCTTCAATGTTTGACTTCATGAGTAGCAATACCCAAACCCAAATGCATTATAGAAATGATAAAATCAGAATATGTAGCAGAAAAAGTGCAATACCAATTTGGCGCCATCAATTTCAAGCTGATCATTAGAAGATAAACCAGATTGTCTACATGATAATGAATCTGCATCTGCATCAAGGTCACCAGTTTCAGTGGTCATCTTTTGATCACTATCACTGGAGCTGCTGCTTATTGAGCCAATGCTGCTACTATTGCTATTACTACTACTATTATACCCATGCTGTATACGTGTTCCATTTGATTCAATCCGAGATCCTTCCATGCTATCTAAATCACCGCCACTGAAGAAACAAGAACAACACAAGATCAAAAATGAAGATTCAAGATCCAAAAAACAACCAACAAAAGACAAAAAGAAAAGACAGGAGAAGAGAGGGGCTGGACAGATAAAGATTTCTAACAATGGCATAATAATGTCTTTTTCAGTTTACCTGTTGTAAAAACATAGGATAATTATGTCAATAAATAAAGCTTAAACCTATATCGCGTCTCTATGTTGACAAAAACAATAAAGGAACTAATGATGCTTGGTGCATGTAAATGTGTGATGATTAATATCAATCACATAACCCTAAACAGATCTGGTCCACCTGCAAGTACTCTCTATTCCAGAATTTGCAAGGGAAAACAGTCATTCAGTTCTTAGTTTTATGAACCAATTGAAAAAATACTTCAGTTTCATGGATACTCAAAACTGATCTATCTCATCTCTCACAAGTAACATGATAAAGGAAATAAGACTTCTGAAAATATCCTACACCATCCTGAATTATCTCAGAATGCCTGCTCCAAATTTAGGCCTATCATAAATCAGTCAATCCTCTTCACCCATATACGGTTGATGGTTCTGGCATGCTTAGGACATCAATCTACTAGAAAGCCAAAATTTTTACAAGCAAGATTTTCTTAATCAATACATCAACAATGATGTTCTATTTTTCACATTTCCAAAAAATGAAAACTATTAAAATAAAGAAGAAGAAGAAGAAGAGCTAACCAATGCATAAAGAAAGATGAACCGGGGAACGATGGCCCAATCCAATTTTGGAGCCAAAATCTGCAAGAACACAGACAGTATTAATTTGAGTTGCATATATTAATACTTTGAAACCAAAAAGATATAGAAGCAATTACCAGGTCATACATGAAACAGTTACAAGATAATATACCAAGGAATAAAATACACAAACATGCAAAAAGATGGTTCTTGGTGAACCACGCAGGTTAATGCATGTGCACATACACATGATATGAGTTGTTCAAGGAAAAGGAAATTCCTGCGAAGGATAATCTAACAGAGCAGCAAAGACATACGATTGCAAACTACTTTTAAACTTTCTAAAGTATATTCTATGTCGAAACCTCAAAGGTCAAGCCCACAAGTCTACAGGTAGTACCAAAGTTAAGATTATTTTGTCACTCCAACTAGAAGATCTGAGTCAACCAGATATAATTAGCACAGAATTTAAGTACACCTTTTTAAAGAAGATCTAGCAAATGATGTTTGTAAGACTGGAACAACCACTGCCTCAGCTGGATAAATAAATGTCTTCTCATGTATTGATATTTGATCTGGTGATCCCTTATGATCGCCTCTTCCCACAACAGGAGATTCCACAACATGATTCTTAGTTAAGTTCCTGATTGAATTTGAGCTTGATTGCAACCCCTTCTCGGTGTCAGATATAGGACAACCAAGCGTCACTTCAACATAGCAATTTTGCCCCCTCAGCAAGCATCCAGGCCCTTGAGAAAGGTGATATGGTAGACCTATAAATCTATTTGATGTCCTAATCTTTCCGGAACCGCTGAAGAGAGAAGTAAGATGGTATAAGAATATTAGCTCAGAGGATTATCATCATCTTGCATGAGTACCACAGCCATCCATCCAGAAAGGGTGAAGTGCAAAAATACAAGTGAAGTTCTCATTAAGCAATCAAACCTGAAATACACTTGCTTGATAAGATCATTTGGACAACATCCTGTGAGCCAGCCACGCATTCCATGAGGAGAAACAATCACTGGATAACATAAAATAAGACAATGTAAGGCAACACAACTCTCAAGGCAGTGAGTGAAGAAATGGGTCATCAATCAAACTTTCCAACTGCATAGGAGGTGGCAGTAACAAATTGCATAATGAGAATAATTGTATTGAACTGATCAGTTGTATCCTAAAACATCTTTCTTGAAAATCGCCACCTTCAAGAAAAGACTAACCTAAACTACCACTAAAATTATGTATGGACATATGAATGTTTTGATCATTGTCAACAGTATTAACTCTGACATAATTCCAAAAGCTTATGTTTTGATCGAATAACATTGCATTTGAAACAGCTGCAGCAAAAAAAAAAAAAAAGCCAATTACTAGTCCACAGATCCTTGAAGGATACCCCTTAAAAAGTCTCAAAATACAAATACCAAAACTGTTCCTGTTGAATGTGTATTTCATTGGACAACTAAATACTCCAAGGGCCAAAATGCAATGCCAGCTACAGTGTAGATAACATCTTTTGATTCTTAATTCTCTAACCAAGTACCCTTTTTTATTTTAAATTTTTTACTCTTGAAATTACCTAAAAGTGATGTTAATCAAGCTCATCTCATTCATTTGCGACTTTTTTTTTTTAACTCAAACAACAAAAGTAAAACAACCGGAGCTTCCCAATTCTCTGTCACCAAGAAGATATCTAATAGTTTTAATATTTATGACGAAAAGAAATGCATGTCCTCCCTGCCCCTCATCAAATCCCCTCATCCAAAATTTTCTAGAAAAAGAAAAGATTAAAATGAAAAAAAATGATACACTTACACACCATACTATGCAGGGCAAAATGGAAAACTAGGAATACACCTTCTCAATATGGTTTCTGAGGAAATCTAAGCATATATAATTTACAAAAGGCAAAATATTTAATTTATCATAAACTTTGCATGAATTATCATTTCTATCCAATTCTAAAAATTTTATCAATTTACTCCATATTCTTCACTTTAGTACAACTTATCCAAAAGGTAACTAGAATGTGTAATTGCCTACATAAAACTTGTGTTATAGGCATATATAAATAAAATAACAATACTTGATGCATGAAAAGTGAAAAAAACCTACAGCCAGTCTCTAAATAGATTTCCATTAAAAAATCAGTACTGAAAAATTTTGGAAACTGAAATTCAAACCTGTTAACCTCTTATTTTCAACACATATGTGATCCAAGCAAGAAAACCCATTTCTTGTTATTGCTAATCTTCATGCTAATTTCTTTCAAAAATCAAGACGAATTCAAAAACCCCAGGGCATTGGATGAAATTGCATATGAAAGAAAATCGACCAAATTGATAAGACATGTAGTATCAGATAGATTTCACAGTATTATGCTAAGTTTAGGCAAATGAAATCATTAGGCCATTCTACACATCTGGCAATATCATAAAGGTATTTCAAACTCCAGCATATAAAATGTACCTGGAAGTCTGTAACCAGAATGGTTAGTAGAATGCTTTAACACTTTCTCTATGTCACCACTTGAAAGTGCTCGGATATGCCTAGAAACAAATAAGATAGATTGAAAAAATTTAACGAGCATTATACAACACCAAACATCAGGAACACCTGTCCACAGAACAAATTAAGGCTTGAAAATTCCACTTACTTTGCTGATATTACAACATGCACAAAGATTGCCTCTTCATTGGCAGCAAAGACAAATTCAACTGTAGGTTGTCTCCTGCAAAAACAATTCAAAATTTGCTAAAATTGAACTCCAGATGTGATCCCACAACTTAAATGATAGAACAGAATCATTGATGACCCTAACTCGTCCATAAGCAAAAAAAATGATGAGTAACGTACATAAAACAGCTTGAAGGCTGCCTGTTATGGCTGAATTTTTGGTTAATTTGAAAGGTTGAACGAAGATGGACAGTTCGGGTTTACAAAAAGGTGGAATTAAAGAAGATACGGGGGTTTTTAGGGGCTGATTTGTAGAATTGGAATAGAGAACAGCTTGAAGAGCTAGTTACTAAGGCTGGTTGAGGGTGGGTTTATTTGGAGGCTACAATGATAGGATCTTTGGGCCATCAATTAGGCTTTGTGGAATAAGTTATAGAAGCAAATACAAAAAGAACACAAAAAAGAAGGCTAAGGAACCGTGAAAAGTAACACGAGAATAGTGAGATAGAAGGAGAAGTGTTTAGGCATCAGAACTAAATATTCTTAGGCATCACAGCAAGGTTGAATTGCATCGCACAACTCCAAATAGCATACATGCTGATTTTTTTTTTCTTTTAATCGAATGACAGCTAAATTTTAAAGCATTCTAGCCAACAGTTATAAATTTACTATAAATATTAAGGACTACCAAAGAAATAGGGATACATCCAACAAAAGCTGGAATTTGCAAAATCACCTGACTATTAAACTATCAGTCCAGCAACTTATTTTTGGAAGATACATAAACAAAACCCTAAAAGAGTAGGAAGTACTCTATATTTTCCCAATAAACCCTATATAAATCTGGACGACTCAAAGGTTCTTGCATCTTTGTATTTAAATCTTCTTGATTTCCTATTCTGCATCGATATGAGAAAGGGAGATGTTATAAGCTCTGTAACAATAGAGTTCTTACTTTTTATCAGGCAATCAAAATTATTGGCCTCAATATTTATAATATATCGACTCAGTCCTTCAAGTTCCAGATCACCAATAATAACCCAAGTGTTCCTACTTGCCTTTATTTCAAATATACGAATAAATAAAAGCAAGATTCGGAGGTTAAAAGAGAAAAATTCAATTGTTGGACAGAACTGTCACCAGCTAAATCTAAAAAAAACTAACATAAGTGCTTGCATGTGATATAACTTGCAAGCCTTAAAAGTCTGAGCTGAATCATTAAAAAGCATCTTTATATGAGCCGAGATTTTATCTTAGAGGGAGGCAGGGAGCAACATCAAAACATAAATATCATAAGCTTACTAAATTGTAAAATATAATATGAATACGAAATTATTATTCTACTATTCACTTTCTGAAAACATTGCATAATTGCTGCACTTCTAAAATATAGGGTAAACAACAAGATATGCCCAACACTTTAGAAAAATTATCAATTCTGGGAAGTTCTTTTAATCATATCAATATATACAACTTAATTTTCCATCTTCATGGTTAGTTTGCACATTATTTCCTCTTTTATGACTCTGCAGAAGTCCAGATAATTGAAAAAAGAACTCCCAACACCTCCATCCTCTGCCTACTTTGCAATTAACTACTTCTTATCTAGAAAACTAAAAGCCACTAAAAGGGTAACACCCAAGTACCAAACTGGAAAATAATTTGCAAGGTGCAAAATCTAAATCTTCCCAGCCAGCACTCCAATGTTCTGCCTGTTTCATAAGTAACAAATTTTAGGATGAACAAAGTAATTAAAAGGCATAAAGGGGCCTGTCTCCCACCCCCACACCCCGAAAACAAAACAAATAAAAAGAAAAAAGAACTCCCAGCACCTCCCTTCTCGCCTACTTTGCAATTAACTACGTCTTATCTAGAAAACTAAAAGCCACTAGAAGGGTAACATCCCTGTGCCAACTGGAAAATAATTTGCAAGGTGCAAAATCTAGATTCCCCCCCCCCCCCCCCCCCCCCCCACTCCAGCACCTCCCTCTCGCCTACTTTGCAATTAACTACGTCTTTATCTAGAAACTAAAAGCACTAGAAGGGTAACATCCCTGATGCCAACTGGAAAAATTTATAATTTTGCAAGGTGCCAAAATCTAGATTCCCCCCCCCCCCCCCCCCCCAGTCCTCTCCATGTTCTGCCTGTTGTAAAAGTATTAAATACTAGTATGAACAAAGTAAATTTAAAATGCATAAGGGTTCTCACATCTAACACACCCAGCTCTCCCATGTTCTGCCTGTTGTAAAAGTATTAAATACTAGTATGAACAAAGTAATTAAAATGCATAAGGGTTCTCACATCTAAACCAATACATAAAGACTTAGAGGATTTTTTGTGTGGATCTCCACCCTCTAGTTCACTCTCAGGTTACCCCTTAGAGATTGTTTGCTATAAATAAACATCCCATAAACTTTATGCCATTCATTTGCAAATCCAAATTTCGTGTTTGGTATAAATGAAAGTTCATTTGGAATTCTACATTTTTTAATCCTATGCAATCAATTCTGCTTGAACCAAATTTTAAAATATGAAAATGAGCTATAAACTTAACAAGGATATAAGCTACTAAAACTAATGAATACATATTGAAAATTAATTCTATAGTTAATCCAAACATGAATATCAAATGAAATTTTTAATGAAATGAATTCCATATGTATTTATTCCATACAATTCGCTTAAACTAAAAGAAATCATAAGCTCACTCAATTCTGTCTGTTCATCCTCCATCTACCTAACAGCATTCTAGCACCAATTTAATGTAGAGGGAAACTATTTTCCAGTTAGAGTGAACTAATACATGGGCATTTGAAAGGGAGCTCCCCAATGTAATACTTGGTCTTTCAACTTGAAGATCTCAGGTTGGCTAATAAGGCATGGAAAGATTTCCAGAACAAGAGAAGGCACTCCTACTTTTTGTAGCTCAAAACCCAATGAGCCCCTCACAGAAAGTGCAGCCAAAAAGGTGGCATGCGTCTTGTGTCTAGTTACTGCTATGAGCTAAACACAAAACTAACAACAGATACCATGAAGTTTAACTGTGGGTAGGGTCGAGTATGCATATCAAGAATAAAGCAAAAGCAGTATCATCACCACCCCTAAAGTATTGACATCGCTATTATAATTAGAATTGCAAAAGAACTGGTCAACTAATTAACGTCTTCTAAACTATTTGTAAATTGAATCATCAAATTAATTGCATTTTAACCTGAAAAGTCCTTCATTTTGAGATGGGTGATACTTTGAAAATACATCTCCATATCTCATGTATGATAGTCCACCAAGCGCTCTGTCAATGTCAAGATAGGAACTTTCAGCAAAAGATTGTGATAGTTGATGTTCGATGATTAGAATCTGGGAAATGAAAGAAAGTTTACTTTTCTATACAATTCCTTAAAGACTGAGAAAGAGCTGCAGCAACTTCTTCAGAGTCCCCGGGAGCCACCCAAACTCCAGATGAAACAACTTAAAATAAATTCATAAAAATTCAAATATCAGTGACATGATGAAACCAAATAAGCAAATACAATAAGAAGACATGACAAGAGAGAGAGAAGTTAGAAGTAACAATTGGTTAAGGAACAGAACCAACATCCATTGCTTACTACACCAATGGAAAATGATAGTATTGAGAGAGAGAGAGAGAGAACAACAAAAATTTGGGAACACATTTTACCTCTTAATCTAGACACTGAAGCTTGGGCAGTCTCAACAACAGAAGAGTGACGCCCAGGAAGGAAAAGCCAGAGTTTGATTTTTTCATCTGTCAGGTAGTACTCACAAGACATCATCAAAATTCAGATGCACCATAATCCATGCATGATAAGCTTCATTGCTTTTACTACCCTACTAAATGGAATTAATGATCATATAGGTGGTTGATGACAACTGTAATCCTTACCAGGATTGTGCAAACCCTGAGACGGATCCCAAGGTCCGACAAAGGAATTTGTCCATGTACTGAGAAATCCATCTTTCTGCAACTGCAAATGAGACCAAAGCACTAACCATGTAGCAGCATCTTTCTGCTCTAACTTTACACTGTTCAAGCTCAAAATAATGTATATTTTATTGGTATTTTAACCACACAATGAATGAATATAACTTCAGATTCACTTCCATCTAATAGAAAACAGAAATACAAATATAATGATGATTTAACCTCTTATCTGGTAGAGGATTCAAATCAGATTCATTAGGGAGAAATTGGAACCATGATACGTGATGAAGACCTCCCTGTAGAAATAGATTACAACATAAGAATAAGAGAAAAGGGGCTAACTGATACAAACTACTCAATGATGGCATGCACAAAAAATTCAGGTTAAACAAGCATAAAAAAGAGTCTATGTAGACAAACTAATTATGGCAAAAAGTCTGTCTACCAAATTCGTCCTTCCTCTCATGTCCCCCTTATTTTTAGTTTAGGTCCAAACCTCAATTCTCTTATGAATGTTTCTGCCTGAAATAGCAATGGAACTCAGTCACTGCAGAGTTCCAATTTCCAACAGACGCATACCCTAACTAATGCACAAAATGCCTACTTCACGCAAGCCCTAAGATCAAAATGGCAAACCTCGAGCCCCTTATTCCACCATTCCAAATACCACATTCAACAGCAGCAGTCAATTCAAGCATAGTAGCCCCATTTGAGAATTAATACTCAACATAGGAAAAACACGATACTGTTCCGTTAAAAGCTTATTCACCTTCAATGAAAACTGCTCCTAATCTATCAGTATCACATTAAACAAAATTCAGTTCATTGTAACTGATAAGAATTTTTAACAAACATAAAAAAAATATGGGGAAAAAAAAAGCAAAAGAACATACAATTCTAAAAACATTTGTCCACATCACTTTAAACTGCTCTGAGACCGTTGCTCTTCAAAACCTCTCAAAGCATAGTCACAGCTGTGGAAGAGCTGCTGTAGTCGACGGCATTAATTGCCGCTGCTCAGACGGCCTCCAACAAAGCTGAAAAAGGAGCAAGGGCGAGAGGATAGAGAGTGAGAGAGGGACAAAAATTAAAAAAAAAAATAAAAATTGAGAGAGAGAGAGAGCAGAGACAAACCTGAAATCACGTCAACGGAGTTAGATCACCGGTCGTAATCTCGAGGAAAGTCCGAAGAAGGGTAGTACGCGCTAGAATGCGTGAGAGAGAGGGGCAGAGCTGTAAAGGGAAAGCAAGGGGGGAAAAAAAAAGGAAAATGTCTTTATTTTCACCAAAATGTTTCACCGCACTTCAATACTTCATTGCAGGAGTGTTCATAATCGGCCCAAACCGCCCAAGTCAATTCAGACCGACCCAAAATCACAACTTCTATTTTAGTATTAAGGAATGGAATTCCTACCTGGATCTATTGTCGTAGTGCAAGTACCGTTAAACTATACCTATTAAAAAAATATAGAACCATGTCTTTATTTTCACCAAAATGGACCCAACTTATAAAATCACCTTGAACTTTACGTGAAAAATTTATGGCACCCTAAACATTTCCTTTAACCTATTAAACACTTCAATTTATAAAATTATAATAATTCAATATTTTAACTTGCAAAAATTATTCTATTGAATGCTAAAACTTCCAAAATTAGATTAATTAAATACTTATTAGATAATTGAAAAATGTAAAAATTATTGTTCAAAAATTATACTAACCACACATTTAATGAACATTTTACACATAAATGTCAAAAACACTAAAAAAATGTTACTAGAGAAGGATACAATATTAGCTAAATTCGTAATTTTAGAGGCATAATAGGTCATTCACAAAATATAGGGTGTCACAAGGTTTTTTTTCGTAAAGTACAATGATATATTTATGTATTTAGTCTACCAAAATGTTTCACCATGCTTCAATACGTCATTGCAGGAGTGTTCGTAATCGATTCAAACAGCCAAAGTCAATTAAGACCAATCCAAAATCACAACTTTTGAAAAGTTATATTTGTAAAATTTAAAAATCAAATTACTAGCTTGTTTTACGGTTTTGGAGTCCAAATTGTCTTAATAGCACCAAATTGTTACACATAGAAACTGTAAAATGACTCGGACTATCAATATTTCGGTTGCATTTCAAGGTAATATGAAAATCAAATCACTAGGGATGGAGCACAGTTAGTATTTAATTGTAGCATACTAAATTGCACCTTGGACTTTCTACGGATTGTTTTTTATATAGGAATGGAAAAATACTTGAAATCACATTGATTCAAATTAGAACGATCCAAACAATGCTATTTTTTTAATATTTTGTCAATTTTTGGATTGCATTTCGAAATAATCCGAAAATCAAATTACATGTGACTAGGTGAGGTATTTGATTGTACCAGGCCAAAACTACCTCGAACCTGCCCTATATTTGTGTTTTATGTTTGTACTCTATGATTTTTTTTTCACCCTATACTAAGCCCAATATATTATAATATCAAAAATTTTCATGGTTGCACTTTGTAATTACAAAAACAACATTGCTATATATTTATGCAATTATATCATATAGGATTTCTCCATTTTTTTTTAGCTTTTGACCTCAATATCTCTCTTATTTCTACCCATCTATAGATTTATTGCTACCAATTACCCATTTTTCTGTTCTACCTTATATGTTTGAAATTATGTATTGATCATTCACTAAATAGGAATACCTTATTCCTCAATCTTATTATCTAATATATTCTTTTTAGTATATATATGAGTATATAGCACAACGTGATACGTCGGTTAATTATCATGAGTTCCATATATACAAATATATTTTTAAACTTGTTCATAATGATATAATATTGATTTTTGAGCAAATAGAAAACGCAATAGAAATCCTGGAGCAAGTGATTTCCTAAAATCTTTTATACTCAAAAAAAAAAAATTTCAAAACATTATTTTTGTGATAAACCCAAGGAGTAGATAGAATAGTAGTTGTTAATAGGAAACATCTCAGCAGGGGAATCATATATACAATATTCAATAAGAAAGCCAATAAGCCACGAGCACATAGATAACAATCCAATGGATGATGGATGTAAGTCTATAAGTTTAACTTTCAACATTTTTAATTTACTTTTAATATATTAAATTATAATATGAATTTACATTGAATCCTTTGAATGAGTAATATCACATTGTTATTATATAAGAAAATAACCAATGTATTTCACGGGATATAAAGTATGGAACTTCCCCTTTTCTAGCTTTTGCTGTAGTGTATGTCATTCAGTTTAAGGCATAATTGACTATTTTTAACAATAACAGATTTTATGTAAGTATTTTTTTTTTCCCTGCCAGAATATGAACTATGGATCCCATCAATCCAATAGTTAAGTAAGTGGATTAATTGATGTCAAAATCATAGAGGCACTGTAGGTAGTAAACGACTAAGTGCACAAACAAGTCATGTAATAAGATCAAAACAATCCACCAATGTTCCATCAAAGAAGAGTACAATCCACAAAACAACAAAGCCAGTGGACAATTGCTAAGGTTCTTTATTTTCTCACTACTCCATATCCGCAAGATGGGAATGATAGTGGACATCTATCTGAAGCACAATGAAAATAGATTAAAGATGATTTTGTATGTTGCTTGATGATTTTGAACGCAATGAGCAATGCCCTCTTAAATGTCTTTCACAAATGTTATCCTACATTTGAATTGTTTGCAATTGAGTGAATGTATGTTAATGAGGATGCTGGAAATAAATCTTTTTAATTAACAAGTATATTGATTTTAAAATGATTGATTCTAAGCTTGTTATTAATCAAGTAAATGAACTTAATGAAATTGCTTCTCAATATGATGACGTGGATAAAACAAATTCTAAGACTTTTCAAGTATCTACCACAATTGGTAAGCTTCCACTTTCGTAGAGAGATTATCTGTAACATCCCTTCCCGGTCCACCCGTAAACCCGAATAAACCGAGCCGAGATGCTACAAATTGGATGACTTAAATCCTGACATGCTGACATCCACTTTCGTAGGAGAGATTATCTGTAACATCCCCTTCCCGGTCACCCGTAAACCCGATAAAACCGAGCCGAGATGCTTACAAATCTGGCATGACTTAAATCCTGGACATGCTGACATTCATAAATGTATAATGAATATAAGACATTGCTGAGATGCTTATAGTATAACGTACTGAATATTTTATTAAGACATGATACTAGTGTACAAAATGAAATTGGGCCCAACTGTGCTGCCCGTAATGCCAATGAAAAAGAAGACAAAAGATATACACATCCAAAGGAATAGCTACCCTTGAAAGGACCGAGTCTTCTACAGATGAACTGCAGCAGTTTGTAAACTCGACTCTCTAATGGACCAGTCTTCAAAAACCTGCGAGTTAAAACAGGTAACTCAGCTGAAGCCAAATAACAGCTCAGTGATATCTCAACTAAACAGAACGAAATAAGCACAATACATGTGTAAAGAACCATGGACAAACACATATATAGCACAGATAAGCACACAATCTCATATATGTTCAGGTTTACCTTGATGGTCTTTTCATTTTGTTTATATATAGCTGTATGATCCTGCAAGCCATATAAGTCAAGATAGCTGTATTAGCTCCATAAGGTTATAGCGAACCGAAGTGATAAAGAAAAAACTGTATAAACTGGAATGAAATACTGTAACTTGGCTGCTACTGGCCCATATTAATCATATCCCCTCAACGGCCTGTAGCCGGCACTCAACGGCCTGTAGCCGGAGTAACAAACTGTATGAGGCGCAGATCTGCTATCCTATGTCGCGACATGGTCTTATCTACATGGTTTCTACCTAACCCCCATGGAGCATAATGTTGGTATGTCACAAGTATAACACAACATCATAGTAATAGTTCATCACTTCATAAATCATCATGTTCATATGATTTCACATCATTTGCATGCTTGCCTGTTGTTTTAATCCATATTCTAATGTTGTCTTTTTGTTTTACAATGATTGGATGCATACAAGTTGAGCAAGGAATCCATTTACATAGGAAAAGAAAGTCCAAAAATGCAGGAAAAGCCAAGTCGCGAGCGCGCCTGTGGAAGTCGCGAGCGCAAAGTCGCGAGCGCATAATGCACACCTGAAGGTCAATGAGTTTCCAGGTGAAAGTCACGAGCGCGCATTGCGAAGTCGCGAGCGCGAGATGCAAAAATGAGAGTCTGTGTGTTATCGGGCACAAGTCGCGAGCGCGCAAATGAAAGTCGCGATCGCGTACTTGAGAGTCGCGAGCGCGTAGTGTGCCAAATGAGAGACAGTGAGTTTTCATGCCAACTACGCGAGCGCGCAACTCAAGTCGCGAGCGCTTCCAGGCCAAGGGCCAACTTCGCGAGCGCGTCTTGCAAGGTCGCGAGCGCGAGAAGAACAAAATGAGAGTCAGTGAGTTTGAAGTGAAAGTAGCGCGCGCACAGTGCAAAGTCGCGAGCGCGCAACGTGCTTCCAGCCTACGCAGTACCAGGTCGCGACGCGTTTCCAGCCTGCGCAGTCTGGACTCTTTTGATCATATCTCTCAATATACAAATCCAATTTGGGTGATTCAAAAACCCATGCAAAGCTAACACATAGAGGAACAAATAACTCTTCTATGACGATGAAGTTGCTGGTAAAATTTCCAGCAAACTCTGTTTCCACTTCATATATTCATCCCCTGTTTTCAACATAAACTCAATACCTCCCCTGTTTTCTCACCACTACCATTCTCCAACACAAAGCAATATATTGTCTCAATAGCAACACACCACAAAAATTCTCATGCAAGGACAATAATAAAAATCAAGAGATATCAGACCTTTACTCCAAAAACGCGTGAGCTCTGTTCTAACTTCTCTTCTCTACACTCTTTGAACTTCCTTCACCTAGAATAAAAATTCTTATCACTTATCTACGATATAACTCAATTAGAGGTTGAATAGCATAAAGCTTCAAGAAATTCTACTTACTTGGAGAACTAGAGGTTGCCTTAATGCTATTGAGGTTTTGCTCAAATGGATGGAAGAAATAAAGGAAATGAAGAGGATGAGAAATATGAAGAAGATAAAGATAAAGATGAACAATGGGAAAGTGAATGGGATGATTACGGGTAAGTCATCACAAAATCAAGATAAATGATGGAAACGTACTACATGGTACCTCAATTGGGTAAAAGCTACAACTTAATACCCAAACTTGTTCTTCTAATGCAAGTAACTCCAAATCTTTATACTTTGCTCTTTTTCTCTCA